TATCTGTTGTGAAGATATTACATCGGTTTTTAGTCAACCGATGTAATATATTGCATGTTTTTTTTTTAATATTTCTACTACCTTGTTTCTTATTTACAAAAATGCCACCGTATTTTTTCTGAAAACTTTTTACATCGGTGGATGCGTTTGCCCGATGTAATAGGTAGCGAAATATATATTTTTTTCATATTTTTTATATCATTGCAAATAAATACCTGATGTAAAAAGTTTGTTAGTTGTATTTTTTACATCATATATTTTGATACCCGATGTAAAAACCTTTTCTCAAATGTCTTTTTTTTAGTAGTGTAAAATTAGAGATTCAAAGGTTAAAATTTTTACAAATCGGTGTTGTCAAATGGGGGGCGTGTTAGGCGTGTGATGGATTTCTCTTGGGCCTTGTAAGACTCTTGAGGACTTCAAGAGGATGGTTTGAGGCTTGATGTCAATTGAGAGAGACCGGAACCTCGAGATATGACTTGCATCAATTCTTTGATTTCTGGAGAGCTTTTTGAAGAGCCTTTAGAGAGCTTTTTGAAGAGCTTTTTGAGAGCTTTTTAGAGAGGATTTTCGTCCCTTTCAAGCTTGTATGGCTCTATATTTATAGAGGAGAATGAGGATACAAGAAAGCATGGAAAGAATCTCCCTCATAATGTTGTGTTTTAAGACCATGATCAAGATTTGAAAAAAATGCCATATTTGATAATTTTATTCCATTTTCACATGTGGATGAACCTGTACATATTTGAAAAGTTATTGCACGAAATCAATTGACATAAACCAGCATAAAACTTTCCCAAAATGGATTCACATCAAAATTTACATTATTTCTATTATTTATTTATTTAATTCTGAATTTTAATGAATAAAATATCAAAATAAATAGCATAAATAGTAGAAAAATGTATGGGTGGGCTTAGAGGTCGTGTACCATGTTAGGAATGAGTTTCAAACTTGAAAACATAGGCCCATTTGAAAAAAATCCAAGTTTGGTCAATATTTGCTTCATGCATTTTTTCCAAAATTGTCCAACTTTGACAATGCATATTTTTCTCAATTTTACCTTTATGAGGGTGTTCTTGGACTTTTTAGAAAGCTTAGGATGTCCCCTAAGAGAACTATTTTGTTTCATCTCAATTTGATCTTCCATGTTCATGTAAGAAGCTTTGAACCGAAAGGTGTTTTTGTTGACTTTTCAAAATGACCAATAATGTCCAAATTCATAACTTCTTGTGAGTGCATATTTTGAACTTGGGAGCTGAAGATGGATTGTAGGTAATTGCATCCTCTTAAAAATGAGCTTTGGATGGATCATTTAACATAAAGTATGAGATAGTTATGCTTGGTCAAAGTTGAGATGACTTTTCCTACAAAACCCTAATTTAGCAACTTTTGAGTCTTGATGAATTATGAGCAATCCTTGATGAATCATGATCAAACCTTGATAAAATGATTAAATATACTTCAAAATGAGGATTTTGACCAAAAATCTTGAAGTTTGACTGTATGTGGGCCACAGTTGACTTTTGCCCTAGCATAGTCGATTTTCAGGCCTTTGAGCAATTGACTGAGCAAACATCCCCTGCAAGGCTTAAAACTTGACATGGATGATATTGAGAACATATTAGGAAAATTTTGAGCACTTGGGGTCCCTTGGACTCAAATATCTTGATGCAACATGAAACCCTAATTTGAGGTAGACTGTCTTAGGAGAGAGCTTGTCTGGCGAACCCTTAGACTACCTTGAGCAACTTTGGGATCTTTTTTGAAATGTTTTGAGAAAAATGGAAGGGAAAATTTTGGGGTACAACATCAGCACTTGGTTGTGAGAACCTTTTCTTGGAACCTTGGGTCTTTATAACTTCAAGTCTTTAGAGTCATTAGACCTTCTGTCTTTTAGAGTCTTCAACACTTGGTCTTCAGAATCCTTATCTTTAGAACTTCATTATTAGAAACACAAGCTTTCAACATCTGGAATTCAATAGAAACTTTGTCTTCAGATCTTCTAACTTTTTACTTTGGAACATGTTGTTTTTAGAAGCTTGAGTCTTCAGCATCTGGACATAAGTAACAACTTCTGTCTTCATATCTTTTGACTAGTTTCTTCAGACAAATATCAGAGTTTACACTTCAAAGCCTTCTGGAGTATCTTGCTACTGTTTAACAGAACTTATGTAGTATAGAAGTGAAATTAATTCTCTTCTAATGTCTTGGCCACGCCATTCATCATAAGCAGAAGTTGTTTGTTAAGTACTCAACAATAACAAACATTAGTACAACATAATTATTCATACAACCATACTCATTTGTTATCATCAAAACTCAGAGATGATATTGCAAAACCAAATCTTGTTCTTACAGGAGAGGCTTCCTTATTCCTTTAGGAATGAGAGCCTCCATGATGGCTTGGGATAATGGACCACGAGGGTCGTCTTTGTCGCTTCTGTCTGGAGAATGAGAGGGGGAATGATTGTAGCAGCAATTGTTGTGTTGGCTTTGGCCACGGGGAGGGCCCCTTGGGCGAGACTTCTTCTCTTTATTCCTCCTATTTCTTTTAATTTCAGGGGATCATCGATCCTTGTATGGGGGAGTATGATCGCACTTCCTCGTAGCTTCAGGTTGATTCCTCTCCAATGTAGGGCCTTGCCCAATTCGGTAGGGAGAAGGACTTCGAGAACCGTCCCGCCTGTGTCTCCGCGGGGGAGATCCTCGTTCCGTCGGGGAGGAGGAGTTCGATAATCAGGTCTTCTGTGCTTTCTAGGGCCCGACGAGTCTGCTCGAGCATCATCAATCGCTCACCCTGTGAGAATATAAAGTAATTGATTTGGTTGATTATCGCGAACAGAGCTCTAGTCATGGCCCCAGTACCTGCAGGAACGGGGATCTCCTTATATGTATTGGGTACATAATTATTTGGAGGATGGTAGTCATCATCATGCCGTTGCGAGAGGGTGGATGAAGAGGTGGTCAGTCCGTTCCCGTGGTCTTGCTTGGGACAAGCCACACCGTTATGGTTGTCCATGTTATGGTCACCAACATTGTTGTTGTTGGGGTCGACGAAATGGACGTTTTGGTTATCATCGACAACTTGGTCGGACATGACAATCTAAAAGTTGATGAAGAGTTGCTTTGGTCTTGAGAGGAATACGAGGAAGCTGGATTCCCTCAGACGGTGGCACTGATCGTACCTGATCAGAAGGGATTGTCAAAGCTCGCGAGCTTCAAGTCGAGCAATGATTGAATGTGAAGGGGGGATGGGTACCTGCAAGACACCCTGATGCCAAAGTAAGGTTCAGAGTAAGTGTGAGAGTATGGATGGATGAATGAATAACTGACTCTCTCAAGTGATAGGGTATTTATATCCCCCAGTGCTGGGCCAAGGTCCCCATTGTTGGACTGACCAAGGAGGTCCAAAATGGAGACTGTCAGGTCCTACGTGTGTAGTGGAGGCTAGCACGAGGTCTCCAACCTGAATGGACTCCTTCTAATTATCAGGGGAATGTGGATGCAGTCTTTTTGGGGTGAAGAAGACTCTGTGATATTCAGAGGTGGCGGGTGTCAGCCCTACGAGGATGGCGCTCGCGAGGACCTTCTGAGCATCGTTTGTCTTCCTTTCTAGTCATGAGATTTTCCCTGGAGGACATATCCTGGTTTACGAGAGGAGTGGAGGGTGCTCGCGAGGATCTCTTGAGCGTCATTGACCCTCCTCGTCAGTCATGGGATTGTCCCTGGAGAATATATCCCGGTCGACGAGAAGAGTGGAATCACTGTCTGACATGGTCAATGACAGACTCTCTTCTGTTGATTTTCTCCTGCAACATAGTTGAATTAGATCTTGTATAATGTTTGAGCCAAGTACAAACCCAATCCACAACAATGATCGTACCATAGTTAGTTGGTGATTGAGATGGACTTCTTATAATTATGCAACTAAAGATTTCCCTTTAACCCAACTATGTATTATTTTATTGTGAAAAGTTAATTTCTTTCCATAAATTAGATGGATTCTTGGTAAAAGTCATAGTCATGCCTATAACGAAAGTGGTAACAAATATGCCAATCACCTTTGCTAAGTGCTAACATTGGTAATGGTTGGGTTCTTGATTATAGATTCTTGAAGACAAAAATCAAATAAAAATATTAGTTTGAGACATTTAAATAATACGAAAAACGTGTTGCTAAGTTTGCAAATTGTGTTACTAACATTTTTGTAATATTTATATAAATGTCTTGAAGACATCTTCATCTCAGATTAATACAATTGTTCTCTCTCTATGTGTGTATGCATATTTCAACATTACGGTCGTCGATCCTCCAATCTTTACCAATTATATGATTGCATATTCCAACATGCCATCGATCAAATTATTTATTGATTGGATGGTGGAAAAGCAAAGCAAAGTTAATTATTTATTGATTGGATGGTGGAAAAGCAAAGCAAAGTTAATAAGGCTCTCCTCTCTACAAGTCTAATTTTTATGTCTCTTGAGTGCTCAAAAAAAATTAATATTGATGTGTATTTGGAATGACCAAGAGCATCTTAGTAAAAACCAAGTGTTTCTACCCTATTCTATTTTGGAGGGGGATACATAAAAGTTTTAAGTATCTTAATTGTTCTTAATGACATCAAACTTGAGATCCCATGCATAACCATCTTTAAAAGTGTGCATGTACAACTTATGATTCAATTTGTCACAATTAAACTATTACTAAATAGAGATTTGTTAGTGTTTTTTTTTTTGTTAAATCAAATCATAGGTTAATATAAGGGTTCTATTTATTTTGCCACACATGAATAGTAGTTAACCTATTGAGGTGGGCTTTGAAAAAAATAGGATTCTAAAAAATAAGTAAAAATGAAACCACATATTTTCACAACTAAAAGTGAAAATAACAACCCTCTTCCCCCAAAAGGTAAAATGAACTTGACCGATCTGCATTCATTCTTTTGTATATAAAGGAGGAAAAAGTAATAGTACATCCAATAGCAGCACCAAACAATGACAGTTCTCTCTGAGCTCATATACCAGCTATATGTCAAAACAATAGTCCTATTCACATACATGCTAATAGAACTCATCCTCATCATTTGTTACCTAAAGTCTACAAAAAACCCAATCACCACAACCCAATACCTCAATTTCATCGAAGAGAAAAACCCAACAAGAAAGTTGAAGAAGCCTACAACAGAACACATAGATTGCATGGTATGTTTATCCGAGTTCAAGGAAGGAGACACTGTGAGGAACTTGAATTGCCAACACACCTTTCATAAGGATTGTTTAGATGAGTGGTTCTTGCAAGACCAATATTGTGCTACTTGTCCACTTTGCAGGAACAAGGTTTTGTCTGATGATGTTTCTTCAAAGTATTGTTTGCTTCAAAATCAGGTCGAGTTTGATGGGATTGATGATCACTTTTTGGATTTGCTATCTTCATTAAGAGATGGTGGTGATATTTGCTATAGATATCTCTGATTATCTTCTTTTTGGGTTTCTTCAAGAAAACGTTGATGTTTCCTCAGCATAATTTACTATGTAACATTCTCATTTTTGCTGTTTTTTAGATAGAGTACAAAAATATTTAATTTTTTTTAATTGTTTTTGTCTCTTTTTCGATTAAATAAACATTTATACCGTATTCTTATACTATGTCAAATTTGCATGTTAAAAGATTTGATGATATTCAAAAATGTAGATAACATAGGTTTGATCCAGCTACTACTAGGTGTAGTAAATGGATATGGAGATATTATGGAGAAGCAACTTAATAGAGTGATAAAATGTAGGTGAAGCAGTTAAGAACATCATGCATGAAATAGTGACTCCTCAATTTATTGGTTGAAAAATCTCTCAAGAATATGAACAACTTTTTAATGTGACTAGTGCCCACCACCTAGGCTCACACATGCAAGAGCATAACAATGAGCTGTATTATTAGAATGCATTTTTCTATATACTGTATAGCTGTCATTTAGTTTTTAATTTATAATTTTTCTTGTTAGTTTATTCTAAGAAGCATTGGGATTTTATTTTGAAGACTAGAACTTGAAAAAATGGTAAGCCTATTAAACACCGCATTTTCTCATATGTTGTGAGTAGTATTTAAGTATAATTTTCTATCATCTTCCACAGCCCGTAGTGGCAAGTGAGAAATGGTACTGGAATCAATTGTTGGTAGGATGATTTGCGTGGTTTTCCACAATATAGTTCTTTGAATGTGTTCCTCATTGATCAACATATTTCTTAATCCAATCTAAATGATTTTATCTTGAATTTTTAATGGGATTTGCTTGACTGCTTCAAGTAGAAATTTCCTCAACTGAAGACTCTTATCCAAAATATTATCTTTCCCATGGAAGACAAGCAATATTTGTTGATGTAGAAGCATACCTTCAATAGTGATTTGCCTCTTAAATAGGCTTAGTCTTTCAAAAGACTAGTCTCAATGAAGAAATACTTGGTCAAAAATCTAAGGAGTCCAGATATTCCACAATCTAAATCTTTATTTGTTAAACGCTATAATTGATACTTGAAAGAAAAAAAAGATTAAGCATTTTGACAAAGGTTTGATAAATTTCAAAAATTCTCACTCGCCTAAAAGAGAATACAAGAAAAAGGATGATGATATCACATGTTATGATTGCAGAAAATTAGAACATTATAGAACTACTTGTCCAATTTCCACTAAGCATTATAAAAAGAAGGATAAGGAATTCTACAAGACAAAAGTAAAAAACGCCAAAAGTCGTAGAGTCTATATCGTGTGGGAAGAAGAGGATGAGAGCTCCTCCTCAAATTCTTGATCAAGCTCAGATGATGAATGTGATCTATGTTTAATGACACAAAAGAAAGTGAAGACTCTCATGTATACAATTCTAATCCTGAAGATGAACTTTCATATAGAGAATTTTTGAAAGCTTTTAATGATATGTATGTGGATTCGATAAACGCTTTTAAGAAAATTTATCTGTAAAAAGAATGATTTTTAAACATTAAAAAGGAGATAAATGATCTTAATAGTGTAACACTGTAAAATATACGTATAGAATATGCATTATACACAACATTAATTGGTACTGACATAATCATAAGTGTATATTTGCATCATTTACATACTTGACCAATAATACAAAATACAACATATGGTACAAGATATGGAAAGTGTCAAAAATAAAAATCTAAGAACTAAGTAAAATATCCATATTGTATAATCCACAACGGAAAATCACATTAGCAAAATCATTGAAACATCATCAACAACTCCTCTTGTTCAAACCTGCAAAAGCACCTAAAAAACAACAAAAATGATGGAGTGAGATAATAATCTTATTGAGTCCCCCTATCCTATGGGTCCAGTCGACTCTACAGGGTTTCTACCTGATTTCTAACTCAATTATTCACCTTCAGTTACTTGTGCATCACCTGCACCATGTAACTAGGACATGAGTAACCGAGGGATAATCACAATGTGTGGAAACATGTCACTTGAGTGCGTCCATTCAATAAATCACTATTCAGATTCACGAAACATAGATCCCTAACCGAACCTACGTCTACGCCAAAGCTTGATTCACGCATGCCAGTATTATTCGACTTTTACGGTGGATATCGGGTTTCCCATGGGACTCGAACCCACTTCAGAAATCATCACTCGTATGTGACTCGAATCCACTTTGATTTATTTCACTGTATGAGACTCGAACCCACTTAAGTGTCTACCTTTCCCCCATATCTGCAATGGTTGGAACTCAAAACCAATTGAGGAACAAATCATTAGTGGCGCATGCTCATATTCCCATTTGCAACTTCTAAAACAAGCTTCATCAAATGGTATGTGCACTGGTGCCTCATCCTCATTCCTGCTTTACATAAGCTTATTGAATGGTATGTATACAAACTATCTAAATACATGATTAGTTCTCATATACTTGTGATTGTTCTCATCAATCACTAGGTGATCCTTGTCACCATTTCTCATGATATTATATCACATTCTCATGGCATCATAACCTGGTCCATTTTCATACATAAAACACATAAGTTCCATACAAAGTATGTTCATTTATCAATCAAGCAACTATTTGTCTATTGTACACACTGCAATACAATCACATCCAAGCAACATTATCTAAACCATTTCATATCCATAGTTATCTTCCTAAGTCATTCACTTAGAACCAAACCTAGGTTTACCTCACTCATAAATTTTAGTCATGTTATTAAACATTCAATACACTTAACACAACAACAATTCATGCATAGGTTATGAAATGAATTACATATGAAACACAACAACAATTCATAACCAATACCCAATACATAATACCCACAACATACCATGGTTTCTTCTCATCACTTGATGAGGTATTAGATTCATTTTCCAATGTATTCAACCTCATAACAAATCAGAGGCACAATTCTCGTCTTATGGTGGAGACAAGAAACCAATTTATTTCAAAAATGTGCATACAAGGAGCACACATAATATCTAACATGTCACAATAGACACTAGGTAAATTCATCACACGACTCACCTCATTCTAACTTATTCCAATTTTACACCACAAAGTGAGTATTCGTCCAATTATCCTATGATGGGGATTAATCAGACTAAAGGGAAATATATGAAATTCTGGTAATCAGATCTTAAATATCCTAAGAGATGTCGAAACACTGATCTCTAAACAAAACACAATGACAAGGTATAACAGTTTAAACAATGCAGAAAATAAATGAGCACACATAACTGTTAACTCAGTTTGGTGTACAATAACACCTACTTTAGGGGCAACCAAGCCAGGGACGAACACAACTAAATAGTATCAATTTATAGATCCACATCACACTCTCACCAGTTTACAATCTACTCACTTAATCACCACCTGTGCTTAACTTCTAGCCAAGACTCACCTAGGTATGAGACCCTTCTCAAATCTCTTTCAGTCACAAACAATGACAAGAACACGATTCAAAAGAATTAGAAGACAACCTTCAAAAACACACAATCATTCACTGCTTAAAAGCTTTAGAATGACTAAGAGAACTTACAACTCAATAGAACAGTCCTACTCTTTTATCAAGATGATCTTAGAGAGGCTCACAATTAACACACACAAAACCCTAATAAAAACACACGTAAGTTCCACACTAAAACTAGGTTAGTGACCATCTATTTAAATCAATCTTCTGGACTGGATTGGGCTTCAAAAACACAGTAAATGAACTGCTAAAAATCTGCAGAAACTTCTGCATAAAAGTAGGACTTCAATCGTTAGTTTCCTAAATTATATCCATAATTAGAAACTAAGAATACTCCTTGAATTAAGCTTGAATATCTTAATCCTTAAACTGAGCGCCACATAATATCCCCATAATATTCTACATTTGTAATAAACTAAAAACATCCAACTGTCTAACTGTACACATGTGCGATGTCAAATGATTCTGCATAGGACATCTCATTCAATATGTTTCTCCAATTGATAGAACATATTATTTCAACATGTTTATGCTAAGTTAGTCTTACCAAACATAATGTAAATCACAAAAGTAGATATTTAACAATCTTCCCCTTTGGCTTATTTGGCTAAAACAATTGAATACTCCTTGCTCACATAAAAAACAAAACAACTTAGGTTTAAAAGTAAATCAAACACAAATATCATAGGCACATCAGAAAAATTATCAGAGTATAGTGAAAGCTACTCATCACATAAACAAGAGAATAAACTCTCAACATGCCAGGACATCATGTCTGACAACTCTTCACAGTAGTCCAATCCAGAACCGGGACTCCCCCTAAAAACCGGCTAAGTAACCCTTCAGAGAATATAAAATCCCCCCACCCCTTAAAAGCAGCAATCAGACAATCAGATGATGGTTACTCCCCCCTTTTTAGCCATAATATGACAAAGGTAAGTAACTAACCAACAACAATCATAGTAGCACATTAGCACAAATGTTAAACATATCTTGGGAATTTAACCCTTACAAAATCATAAAGAAATAAAAACAAGTACACAAAGCAAAACCAAAAGGGTTTACAGAAGCAATAATCATGGATTAACATCAACATCAACAACAACCTCATTCTCTTCTTCTCTATCAACATTAGCACCAGCAGATGCAATAATTTCATCAATAGCAACATCATCATTACTTCTGTCAGCAGGGTCTTTATTTAGGAAGATGTCATAACAATGGCTGGATCATGTGTTCCACCAAACAAACTATAATGCAAATATAAAGGAGATTCTCCTTTATTAACACTATCCGTAGCCGATAAAATACTAGGATGTTGGTGGTATGATTGAAGAGTTTTATTGTCCCACAACAATAGCAATAATTGCTATAAGTCCTCATAGATATAGATCCCTAGTCTTCTTCTCAAGTTTTTAAACTGAATTGCATCTAGAGCTTTAGTAAAAATATCAGCAAGCTGATTTTCAGTGCTAACATGCTCAAGAGTTATGACT